CAGACTCACCCTGAGCGGCAGCCTTTCTAACCTGACTGTGAGACTCTGAGCTGCTGCTTGTGCTGTGTTGAATAAGGACAGAGGCCCCCCTCCAGACTCCCCAACCCCCCATAAGTGCTTTGAAGTTGATAAGCAAGTAGTGGTAGTATTAACTATGTGCTGCAAGTTACATGTGCCAATTCATTGAACTCTGTCTGCTCTGCTAGAGTAGCACTTTATAGAACAATCAGCTCCATTTCATAGATAGGAAGAGTGAGGTATCAACAGATTTAACCATTTGTCCTGGGTGCCACAGTTGGTGCAGACACAGAACTCACACCCAGACTCTCTGAGGGCTTCCAGGTCCTTAACGCCTTCCTCCCTGAGTCAGACAGGGACCCATCTCTGCAGTAGGCACAGGTTCTAGCTCCCCTAGGTCCTTTTGGACTTCTTAAGTTGGTTTCAGGTTAGCAACACCCTCCCCACAGACTCTGGAGCCTTAAATTATTATCAAAATAGCATTCCTGTCACCTCCACCGCCTTCTCCTACTTCCTTCTCCAAGTACTTGTTGGCACTGTCAGGTTTGAAATTTACCCTCACTGTATCACTGTCATCCTGTTGTTTCTCAATTTTCTCTAGCGGGTGCCAGTGATGTCTCTATTCCTCCAAGCCCTGAGATTTTTGCAGTCTCTTCTTACTCGTCTTTTCCCAATGATTGGAGCCTCTTTCGGGGTGAAGGGAATGAGACCCATTGTCGTTACTGTTTTTGGCATAACAAATATGCCACGGGGAGCTTGTCAGGCTCTGCCCGTGTGGGCGGGATACTCTTGATAGCTTGCCAGGCACTTCGGGAGCATATATTTATATATTTCTCTTTATGATATGTCATCTACTGTCTAAATTCCATCAAATATGGTGTGGTAATTATGGAAAATGGGTAGGAAGTGTCTTATAATGTGTAGCATGGCCGCAAAGCTTCAAGAAAGCGGCCTGGAGTGTGGCAGTGGTTGGGTAGTGGAGGTCGGCTGCTGGGGCTGGGTCCCTTGGGGTGGGGAGGGCTCTCACCCACCCTCTCCAGGGCATTTCAAGTGAAAACAGCCTGGCACGGAGTTCAGAAATTTACCAAATGCTTGTGTAAATTCACCTACGGCTTTGGGACAGGACAGGCAGAAGAGAGGATGTGTGGGCACTGAAGTGGGACTTGAGAATGACAATGGGCTGGGCACAAGGAATGGACTCAGGGGAGAGTCTGACCCGGCTCTGATGAGAGCAGGTCACCTTCTCCAAGCTCCGGCTCCAGTCCACATAGAATAGACGCCATCTCTGGTGCCTACCACAAAGGCCCTTCGGGCCAAGTAAAGCCCTGGGTTCAAGGAGAAAGGACGCTTGGAGGAGTCCAGGTGACAAGGATGGAAAGCCAGGCCCTTCCAGGGGAGTAGAACATACTCGTGAGTCTCCCCAAACCCCAAAGTTTAGAGGCCAGAACCCAGGATTCCCAGAAAGAGGCTGCCTGCCCAGTGGGTATGAAAATAACCACAGCCCAAGGACTGAGCTAGGTGACCCCATTGGCTTCTTTTACTGCCACAGGCCTGCTGTCGGTAGGCCCCACGGGTGGTTCATGTGAAGCGGGGAGGAGAAAGATGGTCACTTTCTCCCGATCCACCTCTGCCAACTGGGATCCAGGGTTACTGGGTTCTTGTCTTGCCTCGCAGAAACGAATTTCAGGAGTAGATGAGCAGTGAAATTACACAGGGTTTTTTTTTTTTAATTTTTTGGAGGTTTTGAAGGGAAGAAGGGAGAGAAAGTGGGAGAGAGTGGAGAGTAACATCTCAAGAGAGAACCTGGGCTTCTCCAAGGGTGAAGACACACATATCCCAGCATTAAACATGGAAGTACGAAAGTACACATATCTAGAGGGGAGATGCGGTTGACACATGTGCTCAGTCACCGCATGTGCTCGACCACATGGGCACAAGCAGCACATGGGCTCGGACAGCATATGCACGCCCTTCCTTTGTTCAAGGTGGCTTTTATAGGGTTTCTCCAACCTGCCCCCCACATGGGGCTTCTACCTAAGTAAAAGTCCCTTGCTAAGGAGGTTACCAAGAGAGTTGGGAGTGGTGATGGTCGTCTTTGAAATTACTTCCCCGGCCTTTTGTTTCTGCAGGAGCTTCTGTTGGAGGGGGTTGGTCCAGCCTCCTCAGGATCTATTACAGACTGGCACCAGTTCCCCAGGACTATTAACACTGTAGCGCTGTCCTCCCATTGTTCATCGATTTGCTCAAGCGGGTCCAGTAACGTCTCCATTGTGAGACTTGTTGTTACTGTGTTACTTGCCAGGAAATTTACTGCCATTGCCTTGAGAGGGGGCCTTCCCTATCTGCCTGCCTGCCTGCTGCCTACATCATCCCTGCGTCTGTTATACAGACCCAGGAGTCATTCACGACAAGACCACTGGGCTTTGGGGTTGGACGGGAACAAGGAAACCTCCAGGTGGGGAACTATATAGTCGAGTAGGGATTCAGCCCAAGGTCTCCCTAACTATGTTTCTGGGCTGGCCACTTCACTCTGCTGTTGCTCGGCTTCCTCGTTTATATGGAGAACTTGGAGCACCCGTCTCGTGGTATTTAGAATACACTCGCTGCTCATTTTGATTTATGAACACAGGGAAACAAGGGCCAGCATCTGAGATGTTGGAAACAAGACGCCAAGAGAACCTTCGTTCGCAGTGTTGAGACGCGCCTGTTGCTTTGGTGGAAGGAGGCTTACGGGTGGGAGATATTCCCCACTCTGGACAGTAGATGGCGCTCGCGCCCCTCCCGGTGGTGCCAAAGAGGTCCAGAATCACAGCCAGGCTTAGACCCACTTGGTCACTAGGCTGCGCCATTTGCCTACATTGCAACTTGCCGACGGTCCTGTTCGTTCCTCTAGCAGCCCTAAACTTCAAGGAATTATTCCATCAAACATGTGATGTGAGGTGCCTGGTACCTGGCAAGGTCTCAAGAACGTTAGCGATTCTTCTTCCTCTTGTTATTGCTCCCAGTTCTGTGTTTGATTCAAAGGCACAGACTGGATGGGTGGGCAGTGGTCAGACCTACTGTCTGCATCTTTCCCCTAAACTTCATTTCAGAGGAAGCATAAAATGCGTTGGGCTCACTTGGCAGCTCCCACCAAGACTTTTATGCTGTGTGAGCTTTGTTGACTTCCGTCAGCTTTCTAAACCTCAGTTTCCCCTGCCTACTTTAGGAGACTAGACCTCATGGTGCTCTGACTTGGGAGATTTTCGGAAACGGTAATGAGACCAGAGCTGCGTTCTGTGGATGGTGGCTCCACGTTAGCAAGACTAGGTTCACTTCTACCTTTCCTTTTGGCCCTCCTTTGCTTTTAGCATCTGGATCTGTACTTCCTGTCCTTGCCCTCAAGGCACTATTGTCTAAAGATCTTTCCTTATGGTTCTTCATCTTTGAAACAGTTCTGCCCCCCCACCCCACCCCTGACCTTCCTTCCTGTGGGCCACAGGAATCTGATAGCTACCAGCTACCTTATCTGCTCCCCCTCCCCTCTCCCCTTGCAGGACCACATCTTGCAGCCCCCATAACTTGGCCCCTTCCCCCACCCCAGCTGCTCTCCCTGCAGGCTGCTCCTCAAGCAAACCAGCAGTTCTTTTCAGTGCTGCAAAGCATCTCCATTTCAAATCTCAACCATCCCCTTCTCTCTCTCTCTCTCTCTCTCTCTCTCTCTCTCTCTCTCTCTCTCTCTCTCTCTCTCTCTCTCTCTCTCTCTCTCTCTCTCCTTGCCCTTTCACCAGTCTCATGCAAATCGCAAATCGATTTTGTTTGCAAAGATTTTGTGAGGTGGACCTGGGGGCTTTGGGAAAATTGCGCTGTGAGGTGGCACCTCCTGAGTTCACCTTGCTCTCTGGAGAGCAGCTTCTGAGTTTTACCTGATTCGCGTTCTGAGATTAAGTGTTCTCTTCTACTGCTGACAAGAACCACAGCTTTCTCCTCCAAACCCACAGGCAGGAGGGAAACTACATTTTGAGATGCTTCAGAGAAGATCCCCACTCAGAAACCTTAATATTTTTGAAAACAGTATTATTTATTATCATTCTTGTTATTGTTGCTGTTGTTATTATTGATTTTGGAGGCCATATCTGGCTGGGCTCAGGTCTGACTTCTGGCTCAGTATTCAGGGATCACTCCTGACAGTTCTTGAGGGGCCCGTATATGATGCTGGAGATCAGACTCAGAGTCAGTTGCATGCAAGCAAATGTGTTATCTCTGTATTCTCTCCAGCCCTGGATGTGTACATTTTAAGTTAGATTCTTAAAAGTTAAGTGAAATAAGATAAACAACCACTGCCCGGTATCATTTCTGTATGGAATCTAAACAAAAAGTCACGCTCACTACATAGAAAGTAGATCGTTGTTAGGGACTGAGAGTGTGAATGAATGCATGTGTGTGCGCGTGTGTGCATGTGCACATGTGTGTACATGTGTGTGGATGTGTGCATGTGTGCACATGTGAGAATGTCTGTGTGTTCACTTTGTGCAAGTGTGTGTGCATGTGTGTGCATGTGTGTGTGTGTGTGTGTGCGCGCGCGCATATGTATGTGTTGGGGAGATAAAGAGCAGAGGTTTAAAGGGCAGAGTTGGTGAGCTAGCAGGTGAATCAGCTCTGAGAATCAAATGCAACAATTTTCCATCTTTTCTATGCTGTCAGTTGCTACTTTTTGGACTTTTTTACACTTGTAGACTGCACACACCAGTCCTCCGGGCCAGCAGTTAGCTCTCACTCTCTTTCCTCCTTTCCTCCCAGGCATCCAGCCCCTTCCTCTCAGGGATCTTTCCCAGCCTGGGCCTGGAATGCTGCATCTTAATGACTTTCCTGACTCCTGGATGTGGCCCTTGTATCACAGACCTCCAAGCCTTTGGGCTAGTTTCTGCTAACGGGAAGATCTGGTGCTTTTGCCTTTGGTCCTGCCTATTTGCCCTCTAAACTTGGCTCTTTGTGAATTGCAGTGCCCTGGTTCCCCAAAACCATGCAAGAGCTTGACAAATTTGCCAACCAGATTCTCAGCTATGGAGCAGAACTGGATGCAGACCACCCGGTGAGTTCATGGTCCTTGGGGGGGTGGGGAAGGGTTCCTTCCAGGCCTCCTACACCCAGAGTTTGGAGCAATCTGCCTTTACTTACTTATTCATCATTTACTGAGTGCCTACAAATCCATCATCACCATCATTGTCATGAGGCCTGTGATGATGACTTTCATGGGGAAAGATGTAACCCCATCTAGAAACTATTGTTTAGCGATACAATGGATCTTTGTGTATGCTCACTCACCCCCACACATATGGAAATGATCTTTATTTCTGATTTTATATCATTACAGAGTCTTAAGTCAAGTGCTTGGGAGAGTCAAGTGCATTAAGAACTCTATCAGAGGGCTGGAGCGATAGCACAGCGAGTAGGGCGTTTGCCTTGCAAGCGGCTGAGCAGGGTTCAATTCCCAGAATCCCATATGTTACCCTGAGCACCACCAGTAGTAATTCCTGAGTGCATGAGCCAGGAGTAACCCCTGTGCATCCCCGGATGTGACCCCCCCCCAAAAAAAGAACTCTATCAGGGGTTATGGGGCCGGAGAATGGTAACACTAGAATTGGATTTTAGAAGCTAAGTTGAGGTGGGGGGGGAGGATGTATGTGGTGTGTGTGTGTGTGTGTGTGTGTGTGTGTGTGTGTGTGTGTGTGTCTGTGGTAGAGCATATGTCATATCTCCATGTGGCTTTGGTTTCTTCCCAGCATTGTACATGTCTATTTCTCAGCTGTACTGGGTGTGGTCCCGTTGGCTCTGAGCACAGCTGATTATGTTGCTGTGTGCCCAGGAACAGAGAGTGCTAAGGCTCAGAGTCCTGAAAGTACTCCAGATATTTATGGACTAGCTGGCTCTGGCTTTAGGAGAGAGTAAAGTGGGTTTGAGAAGATAAGGCTCAGGGCAAGGTCTGGGTCAGATGTGCTGTGAGTCTGATAAAGCAGGTGGAGACAGGAGATGAGCTCCTGGGTTCTTGGGGTCAGCAGGCACATCCTTTCACTCTTGGATTATTTCTGAGCTGAACACAGAGTGAAGTGGGGGCGGGGGGTTCTCAGGGGCCTTTGTGGGAGGGGTGGGGTGGGGGAAAGGAATAGTCCAGGCAGGCTTCCGTCCGCTCTGTCACGTCCACAGGTGAGCAGGGCCTGGTGGCTCTTGCTGGACACTCTTTGTTCTTGGCCCAGGAAAAATGGTTCCTTCCTCTTGAAAATACATGGGAGCCATTTGCATTCCTATCACTTGGGTATCTCAGCGCCTTGCACCCCCAACCCACCCCATCCCAACCTGTGGGTCTCTGCAAGTAAGGAGTTTGCTCTTCATAAAGGCTCTCGATGGTATGGAGAGCACCCCATCAAGACTCCCTTTGGGGGCTGGAGCAATAGCACAGTGGGTAGGGCATTTGCCTTGCACACAGCCGGCCCGGGTTTGATTCCCAGCTCACTCCTGAGCACTGCCAGGAGTAATTCCTGAGTGCATGAGCCAGGAATAACCCCTGTGCATTGCCGGGTGTGACCCAAAAAGCAAAAATCAAGACCCACAGAAAGAAGTTACTTGTCCAAGGCCTAGAGCCTAGCGCTGGGTTCTGAGACTCAGCCCAGTGCTCCTGGTATCTTAAGAGTAAGGCGCAGAGACAGAAAGAGGCTCTTTCCAGGCTAGATGCCTCTCAAACATGAACATCTCCTGCTGTTCATTTGAATAGCAAACCCTAACAGTGCACTTTGAATTGCAAAAAAAAGCCTGTGGGAAGAAAGGGAAGAGCACAGTTTAATTCTTCTTTGTCTTTTGGTAGTTTCCTGCATTTTTGTTTTTAATAATAGGGAAAATATTTTTACAAACAAAATGCACCCTCAGACTTTAGAAAGAAAAAAAAACATAAAACATGTATTGTTTCATACTGGCCCCAAATAACAAATATTAGATTTTTCAGTCTTCCCCCCCCCCCCCCACACACACACCAGAAATTTATACATCACTCATGCAGGTTAGGAATAAGCTGCTAGCCAGCTCCCCAAAACAAGTTTTTTATTTTTGCTTTTTGGGTCACATCCAGTAATGCTCAGGGGTTACTCCTGGCTCTGCATTCAAGAATTACTCCTGGCAGTGCTTGGGGGTATTGGGACGTGGATCGTGATCTCCCTTTAACGACAGAGAGACTCCAGAGACTGCAAACAGCAAGAAAGGTTTATTGTAAGACTGGCTAGCCAGGGTCAAGCCGCCTACACAGATAAGCAGGTCCAGCAGGTTGGGCAAGACACCAAGCTTCTTCAAAGGAGATCTTATATAGGCCTTCACCAGCCGTTACAGCAGAGCCTGCACATTTCATGGTCAATAGATTCGTAACAACATATACTTTCTTAACCAATCCATTTAAAAGTACATAACTCCTTAGCCTATAGATTCAAAGATCAGCATTTATGTACATGGGCATTGTGGCTAGTGGGTATCTCATAACAGATATCTGGTTATCTTCTATGTCTACCCGGCTCCCTGTGATTTACAGCTCAGGACACCTGCATTGTGGTGGGGGTGGGTAAGGGAAGTGTTACTAGTGGAGGGGCAGATAAGGAAGAGTCAACAGTGGAGGCAGGATTTACATCTCAGGGCTCTACTGGGGGGTGGGGGCAGATAAGGAAGAGTTGCTAATTAGCAGAGTTTAGCTCTGGAATTTCCCTTGGGATCCCATGGGACCTTATAGGGGGACCATATGAGATGCCTGGAATTGAACCCGGGTCGGCTCTGTGTAAGGCAAATGCCTTACCTGCTTGTGCCATCACTCCTGCTCCCCAAAACAAGTTTTGAGGAAGTGTTTTGGAAATTCACTGATGCAGTAATTCTCCCACAAATTCACATAATACTTTGGGAAAGCCCAAAGTATTATGTGAATGGCCCATACCTCACTGGATTCCTCTGTTAGTCTTGGTCCAAATGACTTGGTCCAAGGCTTGGCTACATAGTCAAGGCTCTCGGTATTTTTAACTCACATGCCCTCTTACACAAAACAGTCAGGGCAAAGGTGGCTAGGTATAGTGGTCAGGGCCCCTTTGGGGAAGCACCGTATCCCCTTTGCCTCTGCCTGGGGCCTTACGTGTGGGAACTGGGAGCAAAGAAACTTCCAGAACACCTTCTTTAGAAAAGAGTTCTGGCCACCCTTGGTGCAGCCCCTGGGACTGGCCCGTCCATGTGTCCTCTCTCTCACCTGCCCATCTCGTGTCCTGACCCTTCCTCTGGCAGCATTTCCTGTGTATTTGGGACAGGGGGTGGGGTAGATGGAAGGCGAGGTCAATCCAGAGACGTGCCCTTTCCCGGAAATCCTTCTTCTAGCCCTGCAGAGGGGGTCAGGGCTGGTCTTAAAATTCTCTGGAATTTATTTCTTTTTACAGACCCAGCCCATGCCTTTGGCCTTGGCCTCTCCAGTGTCTTGAAAGTATCATAAAAATATAATTTATCAGGTACACAGTCCCCTGATGAGGAGGCCAGGCTCTCTCTGTTCCTTTCTGTGGCTTCTCATCAGGACAGGGGAGCTGACAGGCCAAGGACAGAGTAACCCCTCCAGGGTGCTTCCCTGTGGCCGCCCAACTCCCACGGGGCCTGGCCTCAGGGTGTGAGGAGAGTCTTGGGTGTTCTTCCAGAAAGAAACCTCTGTTTCATGCTGTCCTCTGGCCTCCCCGTGATCTCATCTTCCCCTGAGCAGAGGGGGATGGAGGCCAACTGTACACCAGGCTGCAGAACCCCAGAGGGCCTATTTCATTTCTGTTTCTAAAATTGAGCTTCCTTCTTCCATTTTTCAGCTTCTGTGCTCCTGGTTTTTCAGTTTCCTTTACCTGGAATGCTTCTTCTGGTCCTCCCGCCTCTCCTAACCCTGCTGGCAAATCCTGATGCATCTTTCAAAGTCCGATGCTTACTGTCTTTCTAAAATTGCCCCCTGATGACTTCCAGGGCTAAGCAATTGTTTTACATGTATGCAGTAACACTGCACGCATTTGTTATTGTTTTACTTTGAATACCTTGTATCTGATAAAAAATGAATTGCCATAAAATATTGTTGTTGTTGTCTTTGCTTTTTGGGTCACACCTGGAGGTGCACAGGGGTTACTCCTGGCTCTACACTCAGGAATTACTACTGGCGGCGCTCAGGGGACCATATGGGATGCTGGGAATCAAACCTGGGTCGGCCACGTGCAAGGCAAACGCCCTACCCGCTGTGCTATCATTCCAACCCCCTGTTTTTTTTTTTTTTAATGAACAGTTTCATGATCTGTGGATGCATGAGAAACCTAAGATAAATATACAATGTAAAGGGTCATATATTTTATTCCCAAATGTAAATTACTGGGAAACAAGGAAATAAAAAGCTTCGTGATTATAGGGGAAAATGTAGAATCCTAGCATCCCACTCAGAGACTCAGCATTTGTACTCTTGGAGACTTTAGGGAGTCAGACAAAAATGGAACCGATTAAATCTAATGTTTCTCAATATTTTCCATGGAACCCTTTTTTAATGGAAGACCTGGCAACTTTATCTTGACTTAATGTCTTTTTTTTTCATTTATGTAGGAGTACTGCTATTTATTCAGCCATTGATTAAGCTGATTGAATCGAGCATGAACTCCACATCACTTTTTCTTTTTATATTCAGAAAGTTAATTTTATTTTATTGTTTTATTATTATTTCCCCCCACTCCTTTTTTTTTGATTCACTGTGAGATATAGTTACAAAGCTTTCATGTTTGAGCTTCAGTCATACTTGATTGTAATGTCTTAAGGGACACCACTGAGTAAATAAACCACGAGGCAAAAAAAGATATTGTGGGGTTTAATCGCATAGCATGTACTTGAAGTTTGAAGGGTTTTATGACTTGGGAAGATAAGGAGGGATTTCCAGAAAGAGGGAGCTCTGATTGAGCCCTCTGACAACCAGGCGAGGCTAACTGCTTATCAAACAAACCCTGATCTCTGATTTTACCTAAAGAAAGTCCATGTCTCATGGATGTCAACAGGGAAATTGTTTCGTACAGTCTAGCA